TAATATGAAATTTCATTAAAATACTTTTTTAAACAAAACTTTAAGTTAGTCTCATTTTTATTTTCCACCACTGTATATTTTAAAGTTAAATGATGGTATTTTTTATGAGAGAAAAAAGTGATCTGGTTGAAAATAGCTACTTTAACCAAATCATAAAATGTTTTTAGTCAAATAACATGCCAAAGATCATTTTGTTACATTACCATTCTTACAAAAAAAATTATTAGATAAGTTTAAATTAAATGTTAGTCAATTAACCCTGTCTAGATTCTTTAAAAACAATGATTTATTACATATCATCTATTGAAAAAGCCATTATTGAGGGGTGAAAATATTGAAAAGAGATTTAGATTTTCTAAAAAATTGTTAGGTATTACTGATGATGAGCTAAAACGAATATTTTTCTCAGAAGAATCAAAGTTCAAGTTGATAAATAGTGATGGTGCAAGATATGTCTGATATCTACCTGGAAAGAAGCATGAAACTTCAAACATTTTACCAACAGTAAATCATGGTGGAGGAAGTGTTATGGTATTGGGTGCAATTTCATACTATAATGTTTCAGATTTAGTTTTCATTGAAGACAAAATGACTGGTGGAGAATACAAAACAATTTTTCAAGACATTTGTTTAAATTTGCAAGAAAACATCAGATAGATGATTTTATTTTTATACAGGATAATGATCCTAAACAGACATCCAGTATTGTTGTGGATTATCTTGATGAAATGGAAGTGAATTTGTTGGAATAGCCTCCACAAAGTCTTGATTTAAACCCAATAGAGCATATTTGAACTTACATAAAGAGAAAACTAGCAGTTTTTGGTAAATTAAACAAGAAAGAATATTAGAAATTTGGCATTCAATTGATGCAAATATGTTGCAAAATTATTTTAATAGTTTTCATAAACGTGTTCTTGAAGTTTACAAAGCAAAAGGTAAACATACTCATTATTAAATTTATTGTGCCTTTTTATTTTGAAATATAACATTTATAAAATTTTTTATTCCTGATTATTTTATTATATCTTTTTGACAAAATAAAATTGGTTTAAGTTTAAAAAAACACGTTAATTTACTATAAGCAATAAAATTTATATGTTTTTAATAGATTTTCTGCACTTAGAAAAAAAGGAATGCCTTTTTATTTTGAAAGCCACTGTACTATAAAATATTTTTATTTATAAATGATTTTCTTTAACTTTTATAATAAATTTAAATATTTTAAAACGTAATATCTATTATTTAAATATAATCAAATCTAAAACTTTAAAATAATTTAAAATTTTTTAATAATAATTAAATTATAAAAATACGACTAAGACTTTTATTAAAACTGACGTAAACTTTAAAGAAACAATAGTGGTATGAGGTGTTTTAATGTAAATTTTATTTTCTTTCTGACATAATCTTTTAATTATAAATTTTGT